GATATTCTCTTCCATATTACTTCCTCGTCTGGCTGTTGTTGTCAGAGGACAAAATCAGGTAGCTTCATAAACACAGGAAATTCAAATGTTTACTCAAATGTGGGTTTTGATGGCCTTTCTCATATATTATGTTGAGAAACCAATCACATGTAACAGACTTGACACTCAAAAACAATCTGATGAATGGCAGCCTCCTCACTGACAAGAGTTTAGGGCCATCAGATGAGCGAAGAGGACAGGGGGAAAAGTGAAATCTCTAGTTTTTGTCAGGCTGTCAAAACATGTACCAAATAATCACTCAGAGGAAATGAAAAATGTGAAGGAAAAAAATAAAAAGGAAAGTCAATGACACGCTTTTCAAAGTTGACAATAAGAGGGATGGGAAAAGAGCACAGAGGAGAGAGCTCCCTCTGAACTCTTTCCTTTCCCTCGCTTTCTCTTTCTTCATGTCACTGACAGATGTCATTTAAAATTGCAGAGATACTTTTTAATAGTTAAAGGGAGGGCAGGGGCAACATCATAATGGGTGGTAAAATGTGGCACTCGCATGAGGGGGAACTAGAGATACGGTGAGTGGGAGAGGATGCTGAGGTGAAATCTGTTTTTTTTTTTTTTTGGTGAAGGGTGTGGTGGAGGATATAAGGGAGGGGTTTTATAGGTTTGGAAGGGAAGACGTGGTGGCACCATGTATGTGGGAGAACGCGGACACCAAGCATGGTTTATAATGAGCCCCAATGGATCAGCTGGGATGGGGAAGACGTATTGACATGCAATGCTTACGCTAATACACCTAGACCGTGGCTGCAGTGCCTGTGTGTGCCTGGGAGCATGAGGCAGCCAGTGATACTGACAGAGTAGCGCACTCCCCAGGTTCTTCAAAGAGCTCAAGTGATTAGTATGTTATCATTACCATTCGAAACGTGATTTTCCTATTCCCTCTCGGCAAAGGTGACACATCTTGGGGAGACGGCCGGCAGACTTGCTGCAATGGAAAGCCACTTCAAAGCTCCCTCGTCCTGACTTTCTCTCTCTCTCACTTCTCTCTCCCTCGTTCTGTCTTCTTTTAGGGCCAGGGGGATGGGAGGGGAGGGTGTGCGTGTGGGAAGGTGGGAGTGGGGAAGAAGGGTGGTTGAGAGGGGCGGGGGGTGGGGGGTCTACGGTTGCAGTGGCGGTGTATATGCGTGTGATCATTAGAATAATGCGCCCCGAGTTTGACGGTGACAGAACCTGAAGGAAAGGGTGAGAGTTCAGCTGCTAAGAATCCAGTAATGGCACACTGTGATGGTCCCAGTAATGAAACAATCCAGCCAGGAACACAGGAGGATACAGAGGCAAAGAATGAAAAGGAACATGTACAATTAAAACTGACCGTATAACTCTATGTGGTAACTTTGGAGGCGATGCTGATATCACACATACAAACACGATCCAAAGTGAGGTGGATTAGTTCCCCACGACAGCTGTGTGTTCCGATGTACTAATGTAACGCAACCATCAACAGAGGTGAACGTATTGAAACACTCAGCTAAGATATCGTTCTCATCCACAGTTTTATCAAGTCCAATGCAATTAGTCAAAGGAGTCTGCTGCGCTACCACGACTCACCTCAAGGTCTGAGCTCAAAATAAAAACTAACTTTTTCAGCTACTTCTTACATGGCCCTGTAATTAAACAACTTGAAAATGAAGACCCTGAAAACCACACCTGATCTTCTGGTGGGACCTCTAAGAGAGCTTTCAAATATAACGTATGATAAATACTGTGCATCAGGGAGTGTAATAGTGCATCATACACTTTAACCACAGCCAACACCTCTGCCTATGCACGAACGCCTTTTTATCTGACACCTACATTTTGAACAAAGATCTTTTAAGAACTAAGAAAATTGTTTTGTTTTGTTTTGTTTTTTTCACGAACGCCTTTTTATCTGACACCTACATTTTGAACAAAGATCTTTTAGGAACTATGAAAATTGTTTTGTTTTGTTTTTTTTTTTTTTGTTGTGCTTTTTTTTGCGTCAAGAAACACTCTTCAGCTGTAAGTTATTAACAGGGAGCCCCAGAACAATGCAGCTGTAGCTCAAAAGAAATCTCTTACTCTCTTTTTCTCGCTCTCCTGCCTTTTTTCAATATCAAACACGGGCGGTTACTATCACCATTTTCCAAAGTTCAGATGATTTCCTTATTATTTCAATAAGGGTGGGGGAGAGTCAAAGTGAATAATGATGACAGCTGTGATTCAGACTGACTGTGTGATCTTCTGTGCCGTTTGTTTGGGACTTGTAAGATGAGGAATTACAAGTGTCAAACAGCTGTGAATATGGGTGCTAAATATTTAAACATGTTTTTCAGCAGAAGAAAAAAAAAGATTTTTTTTTTTTTTTTATAAAGCAAACCTGAAGTGTGTATAAGCTGCAGCAACCTTTGATTCAAATGCAGGAGGAGCAGCAGGGTAAAAGAGTGCTATGTAGAAGCGCCATGGAGAAAAAGGCTGCAAAATCAAGGCCCATTACACAGATCAGGCCATTTCTGAAGGAGCAGACAGGTGAGGAAACTCAAGATGTCTCCTGACCCTCAGGCAAGGAAGAGATGCCCAAAACAGATGGAAAGAAAAGGGAAACAAAAAAGAGCAGCTAAACAAAAGGAGGGAAAACATAACATGGCATCTGGGCCAGCCTGGCACTGTAAATTATGGATAAATGTGAATGGTTGGGTTTGATAGCAAGTGAATCACTCAGCTTCAGCTGTTGCCCTTTTGAACATAGTGTCTCTCAAATGTATATTTTACTACATGTTCTGCTCCACTCAGGAAAATAGAAGAAATTGGTCAGGTCTGGCCTAACATGAGGAAAATCACTTTAAAGACGGAATTCTTGATGAATAAAAAGCTAACTATATGTTCAAACAAAATTGGAGGAAGAAAATATTTTTAGATAATTGAACACATTTTATGAAAACAACATTAGGAGGGGAGACCTTCAAGTCGGTCTAGTAGTACATTTGAATAAATACTTCAACCTGGAAATGAACCTGTGATGGGGTTTACACAATAGATGAAGTTAGTTTAATGACGCAGGTGTTAAAATAATATTTCCAATTCACTAACATTTTGATCTTTCCTGCTTGTTCTTACAAAAATAACACTACCAACAACAACAATAATACTATAATAGTATAAATTGCCCTATTTTATTGGTAAAAATTACATTACAAATGTAATGTATTACCTGTTACTTGTGTACATAAACAAGTAAGTCCTTTTTATGGGGAGGTTGTTTTCTATAAGATTAATCACAGGATAACTGTGGATTAGTCATGATCAATCATGAGTAATCATGATCATAATTTATCCTGATTAAAGTTTTACTTATATTAATGAAGGGAGGTGAATGTATATATTTTGAACAGCAAACTTAATTTATACGAATAAATCTATTGGGCTAAAATAAACACTAGATCTTAGATGCAGTCATTCCCTATTCGAGCTAAGATGTCAGTCCAAACTCTGTCTTAGTGTTTTATTTTATTAGAAATATTAATCTTTTAAAATTAATATGGAATATTATCCTAACTTTCTGACATTTAGCAGACATGTGACCTCCCCTTTGGCTGTTAAGCTGTTCAATCATATGTGCAGAGCAGCGTACCAGTGAGCTGGTTTTAATTTTCAGTTGGAGAGAGAGAGAGAGAGAGAGAGAGAGAGAGAGAGAGAGAGAGAAGGAAAGAATGGTTTCAATTGTTAAAGGTAGAAAAGAAGCACTTACCTCTTCACGTAACTTTATCAACTGCATCGTGAGAGCAAGAGCAGGAGAAGAGAAAGGAGGAGAGAAAGTGGAGGAGATATTAAAAAAACAAACAAACAACAGAAACATAGAAGAAAAGAGATCGACTTGTGCGGAACAGAATTAACCCCCACGATTCATCTTTTTGGATGTTTAGCATTTGGAAATGGTGAGACTAACACGTTAAAAGGAAAGGGGGAGGGAGGAAAAAACAACGCTTGGGTTGAATATTTTGAACAAACAAAGATCAAGTCCTGGTGCTGTCACATAAAACGAGGAGAGGGAATGGATCTCTCCACTTACAGTATCAGCTAACATTATGGAGGAAGTCACATCACAGAAGGTGATAGCGCAGGGAAGGAGAATGAAGAAAGTGAAATACAGTCAGAGCAGTCACAAAGTGTTAAAAATATTTTGTCTGTGTCATTTGTCTGAACTGTGCAGGAGGATGAAAAGGAGTGTACTCATTGGAGGTGAAGAGATGCTGAGCCACTGCATCTGTGCTAATGTTAATCACCGCTGATGGACTGTCGCTCTTTTAATTCTAAATACACACGAGTCAATTCCGATGTATACTGTAAATACACTGTGCAGTAGAGTATTTATTGGCACAGACAGGTTACATAAAAATAGACGTAAGCAAAAAAATATATTTAATATATTTTAAAAATAAATATAATTTGGCAAGTAGGATAATATATTATATTTTATAAAGGAGGCAAATTTTTTATAAATTAATACATTTTCAAAAAAGAAATTCAGCCTGGGAAAAAAAAAATATATATATATATAACATATTTTTGTATATTCGTGAGATTATATAGAATTGTGCACATTCTAAGGAAAATCGCTCTCTGTGTTAAATGACCTGAATAATCTGTGAGTGAATTAAGAGCTATATCTGGTGAAATAATGCACTAATCAAAGTCACTGAACGAAATGCGTCACTGTACGCACTAACGTGGCAGTATTTTTAAATTGCATCACTAATTTAGACACGAGTAACTTGCTGTATAATAATAAACTTCAGGAGGAATCTGCTAACACAACACTTTCTCTCTCTCTCTCTCTCACTCACACCCTACCAGCATTCTTCTGTTTTGACAGCATCTTTCATCTAATTTTGGAAGCCTCTCAAAAACAGCTCTTGCACCACTTTTTAGTTTTGTTACCCCATTGAAAAATGAACCACTGACACTCCACTGCAGACTTGCAAATAAAAAATATACTATGTTAATATATGTAATATGGAAAATAAACAAGAACAACTAATGTTTTTTTGTTTTTTGTTTTTTTTCCTGAGAGCTCTCAGCCTTGAAAATGTCGACAGTCAAAGACACGCACTTTAGATTGGAAAGTGTCTGCTCCAACATGAATAACAACTCCCTACTAAGAATGTATTATTGAAGGGGCCAAAGTTTAAAACTACACTGGGAATGTGTTTTGTCTTTTTTAGGGTCTGAACAAACCCGGCAGATCTTGCGATCCCTCACCCCGGCTCTGCCGCCAGTCAATGGACACCATACAAAAGTTGTTGGAGCTCATTTGTGCTGCCTGGGTGACTGCACATCTTCCTCGAGGATTTGTTACGACTATATTGAGATGTTTCTTCTCTTGGGGTTTAACAATTTTTTTCTCCCCAATGATGCATGAGTTGTTTAGGAGAAAACAGAGCCGTAAAAAACAAATATTATAAATGCTATAATTACTCCTGGATGAGCCTCTTTCCTTGTGTTTTTTGTGATGCCTGCCAGTATTCAAAATTGCACTGCTGCATTTTTGTCAGTTATGATAATCAGCAATTTTTTTTTTCAAACAAAAGATTTTTTTTTTATCCCGTACAGAATTTGATACAAGTGGTAATCTGCTTTCTTTGTAGCCTGTAAAATCTGGTCCGTGCCGGCTCAAACCAGCACAATCTCTTGTGGCCAAGCCTTCTGCTGCGACTGAAATCGAAACTATTCCATATAGTGTCAGTGTGTGAAAAATGTGTGTGCATTGGCTGCTTTGTGTGTGGTGTGTTGAGTGTGTGTGCGAGCCTTGGAAGTGTATGTGCGTGTTCTGCTTGCAGAGGGAACAGGAAAGAGAAAAAATGTGCGATGGCAGCCTACCACACTATTTAAAAAAAATAATAATAAAACGAGTTGATAGTGCCAATTCAGTCTCTGTCTGCCGACAGATAACGAATAAATGCTGCACTCTATTAAATCGTCCTTTAGCCATTATCGGAAGGCCAACACACCATTTTCAGAACTTATGACGGTTTCCTATTTACTTAGCTCTAAATCCCTGCCATGTAACCAACAGATTTGTGACTGGTAATGATCTGCTCAGCCAGGGCCATATGAAATGATCCTGACCTCTTTCAGATCGTCAGGAATTAAATTGACAGACTTGCCCCGGCCCCCGCCATCTTTCCCCTCTGCTATCAGCACCGTCTCGTTGGATTAAAAAAAAAAGAAAGAAAGAAAAAAAAAAAAACTGAAGTTCCGAGTACTTCACTCACGGCTAGTACAAGTATTATTTCCACAAGTTTTAAATGAACCTGAAGTAAATACTGTTGCCAAGTAAATGAGGGAAGATTTATATAATCTCTGTATTTAAATTTATATTTTATGTTTAAGTCATTGCCATACACACTTTCTTGGTCATGAAAACCAAAAATTTAAAGAAATATAAATACCATTAAATTCAAGCTATGCGTTAAAATCTATATTATTTTAAAAAAAACCAATACATTTTTCTTTTCAGAATGCAAATAAAATTAGGTCACCTGCCAAAATATTAATATATTTAATAAGAATAATTAGTATACTTATTTATATAAGATATGTGATAGTAATAAATAATTACATATATTATATTAAACAATTACAATATAAACAATAATTAATATAAAACAATAAGCCTTAAAACTTTGAACATATATCAAAATATGTTTTAAATATAAATCTACTAATAATTTAAATAAATATATAATCATATAATTATGTATGTGAACAAATGTGAATATAATATTATGACTATTACATTAAAATGTTTTTGCCGTATATTCCTTAGGCAGCATAAATAAATTTAAAACCTAACAAATTGTATTTTTCTATTTAGTCAAATTCTATAAAATTATTTCTAACTGTTGCAGTAACAATATATTAAGGTCTGCCAACCAGACTGAAGCAATCAAACTTATTTGAAATATTTTTTTAAAAAATGCATTAGATTTAAAAAAAATTCTTGAGCCATCAAATTACTTCTTCATATTTTTATAAAGGGTATTTTTTTAAATTCTTTGACAGACTCCTGATTGGCACTGTCAACGTTTCAAATATGTCATTTGTGACAGCCAATATTCCTCCAACTTGTGCAGAAAATGTCAGAGTCACTTAAGTGTCTCGCTAATTTGCCAGGAATATGTATATTAGCTACACATCGTGGCTTGAGATATAAGCTTCTAAGATGTGCAGCTCAGGGGTCATCATTGAAATAATAATAGGAACTTAAAGAATTAAAAAAAAAAGGATTTGCTTTTGCATGGCTGTTAGTCCTCTGAACACACTGCCTTAAAGCACTGTGCACACTTCTTTCCATACCAGCGTGCACATTCTTTATTTATTTAACTTCTTTATTTGTATGCAAGAGGGCGTTATAATGTGCGCCAGGAGACATAGCAACCCCGCAAGTTGACAACTTAGTCTAAAAGGCAATATATAATTAGTCAAAGGATGTTTGGTCGTAGTTGAGAGCGGCTGCGTGAGTGGCAGCTGTGTAGGTGAGCAATAGTGCATCTGGAAAAAAAAAACAAAACACTGTTTTTCTCTGCCGTTCTGACGCTGCTTCTCGTTTATTTAATACATCTGAAGTTTGAGAGAACGTGCCGCAGATTTCAGATCATTTAGATCACATTTCAAGATTTCAATTTTCTCTTCTAACGCCGCCACGTTACTGATATAAATGCATCAGTTAGTGGTTGCTGACAGTGAATGGAACTTGCACTGTGTGGTCTTTGTTGGCAATTCTATTGCTTGAATTCAACAGGCTGATATGATATTAAAAAAAAAAACATCAGTCGGCCGCCATCTGGTAACAACAATAAACCAATTGTGATGTGCTGATAAACAATGGATTTTAACACCCCAGATCTCAGGCACAAATTGGAATTTAATCATCAAAGGCTAATAATTTGGCAAAAATTATAACCTCTAAAAACCTCTAGAAACTCTAAAAGGAAAATATCTCCATTGTGAAATAATATCAAAACCTTCGTCTCATTCACACTGGGTTCTTCAGGCGGGTTCCTACTGTCACCCTTGGAGTTTTAGGAAAGACAAGAAAATGTTGACATTCTGTGTGAAGTGTGTGTGTGTGTGTGTGTGTGTGTGTTAGTGGAGGATTGGGTCTCTATTATAGACCTATAAGTCTGCACCCGGCAGGAGAACAGCTGTGGGACGGATAGAGTGGAGGGATTTTTCGGAATAAAATTTGAGCCCGATTGTGCATTTGCGTGTGTTTCTGTGTGCGTCTGGACTGCCACACTGGTCCCATTCCCCGAGCCCACTCAGTGGACGCCCGGCTTTGCATTAAACAGTGTTGCTTCCGCATGACTTGGTGACAATGCTGTGGTCTAAGCCCCCGATGGCCCCTGTGAGGGACCCGGCCCCTCACCCTGGGGGCCGGTCAGCCACCCACACTGGTGCCGGTGTGGCCCCCTGATTAGCACCCTCACCTGGTTCTCGGAGGAGCCGGCGTCATCCCCCAGGAGTTCGTTGCGCACCTCGTCACTGTAGGCAATGCGTGACCTTTTCTGCAGAGGGAGAAGAGGAGGGGGGGGGGGACAAAAAGAAGAAGAGAGGGGGGAAAGAGAAAGGAGAAAAAAGAAGAAAAAAAAGGGGG